ACCTGACTGAGTAGCACACAGTGTTGGGGAAGTTACTTTTAAAAAGTAGTGTTTGCTCGTTACTCGTTACTTCTTAAAAAAGTAATCCCTTACTTTACTTAGTTACCCTCTCTGAAAACTAACTTTTTACGTTACTTGTTACTTTTACGTTACTTTTATGGTGCTTGACTTTGGGTAGAACCCCATCTCATTTCCTAAATGTGAAAAAATCCGAGTTTCCCACTGGTATTTACCACTTTGGTGATAAAATAAAGATTAAAGAGTGAGAGTTAATTTGTGTTAACTAGGCTACATGAATTTGTTACATGACAGATTACTACTACTAATAGCCTATTTGCCAGACCTGCTACATCACTGAATGATGAAAATATTAATATTCACAGACACTATCTTTGAACAAATAGTGTCATATTCATGAATAAATCATTTTCTGTTCTGTTATTACGTGTGTAACTGTGAGACTGTGTTTGTGTAACAGACTCATACTTTGCAGTAAGCTACAGACCTGCACGAATAAATTAATTCATTTTCTCTTCTGGTATGGTATGGTAGGTACTTTATTAACCCCTCGGGGGGAAATTTCAATGTCACAGCAGCAATTTAAAATACACAAAATAGGAGCTGCTGCAACAGGCTGCCGTTCACACAGCGCCAGGAAGGTAGGCAGGTTATGATTGTTATGTTTTCTGTTAACACAATGCTGCATTTTATTGATGTTTTGGGGGTCGTTTTGATTTCCTTTGAGGTTCCGGGGTCGTATGTTGCCCATGTCTGAGGTCTGACTAGCGAGGTTAACGTTACATTAAACAACACTTACCCAGCCATACAAGTGCAGTTCGCTGTCAGTATATAGTTGGTCGACTTGTTCAGAATTGCCCAGGTCTTGTACATTAGTTAACGTTACTGTTTTGTGCCCTTGTCGCTGGCTCGGCAGTACTTCGGCCCATAGAGCACAAAAACCATCAGATAAATCTCGGTATTCAATATCTTGGACATGACCGCAAAGTACAAAATTATACACATCAAGGGATTTATATGCCTTGAGTTTTTCATGCGTATAAACGCCGGGTTTCTCCACAAGATATAAAAAAATGTCCGGACACTGTAGCTTAGGCCATTTCGTTGGGTCGGAAACCTCACTCCGTTGCTAATTGTTAGCTTATTACAATAAGCTTATTACAATAAGATAACCTGTCTTCGGTTGACAAACCGTTAAAATAATCCGAGGAGGCGTGTGTATCTTCCATATTCCTCATACGATTCTTGATTTTGGCGCTCCTGTCTGTACTGTTGACATGGCAACTGTCACAGTTCCTGCCTAGTGCGCAGCTGAGGCAGACAGGCAGTGTCACCGTCAAATCTGTCCCCGGGAAAAGTAACGTTGTGCCCAACTGACAAAGTAACTACGTTCCTTTACCATATTTTCAGTAGTAACGCGTTACACTACTTTTTACCCAATAAAAGTAGTTGCGTTACACACAACACTGGTAGCACAGTAGTGTTCACAAAAGTTACAAGCTCTCTCTGCTAGGAAAAGCTCTAAAGTGCAGCTGACTTTTTCTTTCTGAGATGTGGATAAAAGTTGCAAATAGATACTAAAGATAATAAAAGATAATAAAACTGAAAGGTCCGTTATTTTTATTGTTTGTATAACTGTCTTTTATTAATTATGATTTTAATGACAAAAAAATATATTTTGGAATTCTGACACAGGATCACTGGGAGTGTGGCAGATCCATTTAGTCAGTGGGTTGTGAGGTGGGTTAATGGCATGTGCCACAGACGCTCATTCAGATTGGGATCTGGGGAATTTGGAGGCCAGGTTGACACTTTGAGGTCTTTGTCACATTCCTTGGGCCATTCCTGAGCGATGTTTGCAGTGTGGCATGGTGCATTATCCTGCTGGGAGGCCACTGTCATTGGGGAGTATTGTTGCCATGAGGGGGGTACTTGGTCTGCAACGGTGTTTGAGTGGGTGGAACATGTCAGGTGGTATCCACATAAATGGCAGAACCAAAGGTTTCCCAGCAGAACAATGCACTGGAACAAAATAATCAAAGTTATTCACTTCACCTGTCAGTGGTTTTAATGTTTTGGCTGATCAGTGCATGTCTTTATTTTGTTGTGTTTTAGGCCAGTGTGAGCGATAAAGCAATCAATAAAGAGGACAGCTAGAGGATTCTTGCATTATTTTTTGAATAAATGTTAGCATTGATTATAGGAGAGGTCAAAGGTCATCAACCAGGAGCCAGCGGGCGACCAGAGGAATATCAAGGAGACCATTCACATCCGTCGCCAAAGAAAGATTTCCCCCCAGTTTTACCTGTGATAATGTGATTGAAGTTGTATACTCACATAATGGAAACTAATGCTGGGTACACATTGCACGAGAATCGAGCAGATTTTGGGTGGTTGCAGGGGATATGTCCCACTCAATATTTACAAAGTGTGCAGTTGTCCCGTCCAATAGAAGTAGCAGAGAGCTTTTATTTTGACAGAAGTGATCTCCACCCTAAACAAATGCAGAAATGGCACAAATTGGTGTTTGATGCTAGAAATTTTCTGTTGACGGACGCCAAAAACCTCCTGTTTCATACGTATACCCCCTAATGTTGAAATGAAACCTATGCCCTTAGGTCTCTCACATATTCAGCATTGGTTAAGACTAAAAAATCTTTTAGCGTTGGCCAACCTTTGGTCGTCTCTACTCCACTGATGAAAACCACAAGTTGGGGTTGAAAACTCAGAAGAAGCCAGTAAGTGAACCCTTGATTTGAGATTTCAGTGTCACTCATACAGATTCCAAAGATCAAGAATGAACGCCCATGATCAAGGATCACAATATTTTTCTTCAACGTATCTTTAAAGCTGTATAAAAATGTTATTGTATATAATGTACAATGGTATGAATACAGGTGTATTACTGTATAAAAAGTAGTCCCACAGTACAAACAGGACTAAAAACTGAACTGTTCCTCATCTGTTGCAAGTTCATTTATTGGGGAAATATGGTTTCTGTATGATTGGATACGTCAGAAAGTCTGTGGTAGGTGCTGTGTCAGCATGTTTTTAGTAATTCACAATAACAGCATGGGTTGTCTGGAAACCTGTTTCCACAGCAACATGGAAATAAAAACCCACAATGTCATCACTGTACCGAAAAGTTACTATATATGGGTTTCCAAAGTGCTCACTGTGGGCCGTGTGTGGCCTGTGAGTTACTTTAAAATAAAAAATTCAGGGTTAAATCATTTTATGGCCAACAGAAGGAAGTAATGACCCAAAATGGAAGTTGAAAGCAGGAATGAGCAGGTTTCAGTCTTAACAATGCTGACAAAAGTCACTTCAGCATTAATTCTCTTTAATGACATATTCACACACTTTCATTATTATAATGTATGTCCATAAAACTTAATTAAATTAATTCATTATTTCAACAAAATAAGATGTCCATATAGTAGGTAAATAACAGAGATGAGATCACTGATGAACAATCTACCTCTGTTAATTAGTATTTTCCTCTTAAATGATTTAGCAGAAATAGATCCTGTAACTAGAATTAATGAACAGAGGAAAAGAGAGTACAAAATTGAAGGTGCTGTTGTTTGTACAGTTGATTCAAACTGAATGGTGTATTTAATATGTTGATATTTTGACAAGTATTACAGGTCCAGTGTGTAGGATTTAGGGGGATATATTGGAAGAAATGGAACATAATATTCATAACTATGTTTCATTAGTGTACAATCACCTGAAACTAGGAATAGTTGCGTTTCGTTACCTTAGAATGAGCCCTTCTTATCTACATAGAGAGTGGGTCCTCGTCTACAGAGCCCAGAATGCTGCTCTACAGTAGCCCAGAGCAGACAAACCAAACACTGGCTCTAGATTGGGCCATTCCTGTTGTTGCATCAGCCACCGTAGCCCTCCTACACACTTGGCACATCTGAGAAATTTCAGTTCTTCAACTTCACTACATGCCACTAACTTCTACAAACTAGACCTTTAAGTGTGTTTAAGGTTGTGTAATAGTGCTCCAGGAATAAGTCCTAAAACCCAGAAATCAGTAAGTATTTTAGCACTCACGGCTCCCTCTTCTTGAAGTCAGTGGGTTTTTGATGACTGAAATAAGGTCTGTGGTTAACACAGGCCTAAGAGATTTTCATGTTTTCTTCTACAACCTAAAATACAGCAGTATATACCCTACTTGTAAATTTTAAAGCTTCTAGGTGTCTTAGGAAAGGTAATGAGACTACATTCTACATCCTTATGCCAAAACCAGCTTTACAGCCCTGTTGTGGTGGCGACATTAGGTCATGCACCTGTGGTGTAGTTTATGTATAGCCCAACGTTAGCTTTTTACTTCTAGCGATTGCATTTAGGCTTCAAAAATCATGAAAGTTGTGTTTATTTGTGAAGATTATCTTGATGAACAAAATGTGAAAGTATCATAAATGTTTGTTTGCCACAGAGATTTCTTTGTGCAATAATCCAAAATACAGTGGAATAATCTCATAGGCTTTTGGATGATGGGACCAGGGTGAAGCTAACTTCCATGTCAGCCTAAAGAAAAACATCATGTAAAAACAGATTGGAATATAGGCTACAGCCTCCTTTATGAGACTCATGCCTCTTTTGGGTTGTAGCATCAAGGGTCTAGGTGAATTGTGTACAACATGACTTCACTGTAACTTCAGGGCTGTGAGAGAGATGGACAAATGTAGAGTTGACAAATGTTACCCAGGAAGTTGTAATAAAACAGCAGGTCAGTGTGACCTCTGAGATATGAAGTAATTTCAGCCATGACAAGTTGATATTTGGGCAACACCCTAAAATCTGCTTAAATGCCATCTTGGTTTTATGTCTATAAATATTTGAGTCAGTGCTCTGTGTGGAAATATATATGAAAATGAATGAACTGAAGTTATCATACTTCCTAAGACAATGAGCTTGAGGTAGAGCAAATAATGAGGCAAACAACTGTCTAGGGTAGACAGATATTTCAATGTTAACAGACATTACCATTAAGTTTTTATTTTATAAATGAAAAACAGGCAGGTCAAGTAAAGTCCAGGTCCAGGCTACATGACTGATTCCAGGTCAGATCTTTCTGAGTGTTTTAACTAAATACTCATGTTGGTGAATTTACACTGTGACCAATACTTTACGTATATTAGATACATATTGCAATTGCTTTTGATAATTTTGTTATTTACAGAACAGTACTGTGTATTTTTTAACAGTCACCTCCCCGATTTAATCCAGTCTCCACTACAAGACAGCAGGACAGCATCCACGACCCAGCATCACTGTACCCACTGGAAGTTATATTGTGAGTGAAATTTGATCTTACTGTACTGCAGATTTTGGTGTGTAAGTTATTCTCTTTAACTTACAAGGCTCATATGGCCTGTGACTGTCTCCATGTGACTCCTGTTGGACACTCCCGAGCCACAAACCTTCTGTTCATACTTAAGTGATTTACAGTTAATATAGATATCATAACTGTGACTGATGTCTGAGGTAAACAGCAGTATAAAGCGTGGGATAATGTATTTTGGCTTTGATTCATCCCTAGTATTAAATCAGATGCCCAGCCTCTGTACTGTACACTACTTCTTCCCTCATTTACCAGGCCAGTAAATCTCAATGAATTATTCTTTGCTGCTTATGCTTTCAGTAAAATGAAGTGAATAATTGAATTGTGGAGAATCTATGTGAAGCATCTCCATATTGGCCATGTTTAAAGATTTATATTTGAATGCACAATCTAAACAGCAAGAACTTCTTAAAAATGAACTGCTTGGCAACCAGACCAGGCGTCTAATTGAAACAGGCATTTGTCAAACTGTGTGGCCACACCTGGCTAGTAAAAGGGACAAGGCGTTTAACTGGGACTACTGTACAGCAGTACACTAAAGAAATGTGATTTCACCAATGAAACTCTTAAAATGGAACAACATAAAATGTGTTGTACTACTTCTTGTTGAATAGCTATGTGTCTTTATTCAGTGAAAATCCCCAAAATACACTAAAGCAGAGAATACACTGTTTGATTTTATAAATGTTTAACTCCCACTGTATGAGTAAATTGTCTGTGTTGTAAAGCCAAAGTTCACCATTCATGTTTTCACACTCTACGGTTTGATCGTCAAGCCAGTGCTTACACCGTACAAGTAAAGCAGAAAATACAATGGCCTGTCGGCCCCCTGCAGACCGTTCTGTCTATTGAAAATTGTAAATAAAGATTAATTTGAAAGCTCCAAGGCAGGTAAAACTTAATTTGAACAGTACAGAAAATATTACTAGGTAGCTGAACATCAGTGATTATTTCCTGCCAACTTTTCTCTCATTCATATTGATTGCGATAGTGTGATAGATAATCTGGACGACACTTAATCAGGATCACATGATCAGTCCTCCCTTCTCCCTGTATACAGCATGGCAAACCACTCCTGAAAAAGCTGAAATTTGGTCTGACTCTAAAATGAGTGGTTCCACTCAAAAACGGGGTCAGAAATGGTCTCAAATCATACAGTGTATGTCCAGATTAACACTGTTTTCTTTTTTTATGTAAGAAATCAACATCCTAAGGTTGAGCTTCTTCTCAACTGTTAGCCAACTAAGCTTCCTAAAATGTCCAGGCTCAACATGTATATATGGATGAAGTTTTAAAATTACCAGAGTCAAAGTGATCCTGAACCAGAGCTTCAGACACACTATGAAATTTTGAGCGGAGTGACAATTTGGTTGGCGATATTTTAAATATCTAATGACATTAGAATTTCATGTTGTGTGGTTGTTAACATTATGATGTTTTGCAAACCTTGGGTCTTGGTTTCCATACCTTGTGAGTAAGTGTTGTTCTCGTATGTCAAGGTGCTGTTTGCATGAAACATTTGGAAGACACTGGAATTTGGTTACTTAACAACAACTCTTAAAACCAACAAAATGTCAATGTCATCTGTTGTTAATATTCTACGCGGAATTGATGTATGCATTAGACGTTGTCATGACATTGAATTTTGGTCACCTGACGTCAAAATCAACATCAAATGACACTGGTAGCCAGCTGGGTCAAGATGACCAAAGAATGTGGTCATCCTTACTAGAAATTCTATCCTAAGGTTGGATATAGCCATGAACTTAACAGATAGAAATTGATCAAAATCACATTCAAGATAGAAAATACAAACACATCAGACTCCCCAGCTTTAACTGAAAACTCAGAGGTCTCACTCAAGCACAACTCCACATTCAGTACTCTTGGACCAGATAATGTCATGTTCACATTGACCACATGTGTGCAATTTTAATCGACAAGGTTGAATATAATCTCCTCTGCTACTTGCCACAGACCGGATTCATGCAAAGCTTGAAGTAAAAAGTAAAATATACAATGTATAACTGTTGGTACACTAAATACATGTAATAAAAAACTGGATGTGACTTAACTCAATATTTATGTCAAACAACCTTGAAGCAAAGGGAGAGGCAAGGTCCCTGGCAGACTGACAGGTATGTCTGTGTGTTCACAGTCCTTCAACAGTATGTAACTCCCTCAGCTGAATTGTGGTTAGGTTTGTCAAGAGAGTATATCTCTGAACTGCTGTTCTTCCTTTTCCTGCTGATCATTTTTGAGATCATCAGGTGGAACATCTCCATGATGTTGAGGACCACAGAGAAGACGGACATTGCCAACATAAAGACAATAAAGATGGTTTTCTCTGTGGGGCGACTTATGAAGCAGTCCACTGGGGCTCGACAGGGGTAGTCAGAAAATGTAATCTTACTGGGCATGAATATGAAGCCATAGAGGTAGTACTGGCCTACGATGAATCCCACTTCAAGCAGGACCTTGGAGAGCAGCTGGATCATGTAGCTGGCCAGCAGGACGCCCTTGAGCTGGACTTTGCCATGATCGTCTGAATACTTTGGAGCTTTAACCATCCCGTTTTTACAGAGTTTCTGCTCTTGGCGTCTCCTCAGCTTGTTCTCTCTGCGAATCACCAGCAGGACGTGGCCCAGGTACATGAGTGTCGGAGTGGAAACGATGAGGATCTGGATGACCCAGAAGCGTGTGTGAGACATGGGGAAGGATCGATCGTAGCAGGCATTCTTGCAGCCAGGGCTTTTGGTGTTACAGTCCATGTTTGCTTGTTCATCTCCCCATATTGTATCCACGCCAGCAGCTAGGATGAAGATCCTGAAGAGGAAAAGAACACTCATCCAGACTTTCCCCACAATAGTGGAGTGTAACTGCACCTTGTCCAACAATGCAGACAGGAAGGACCAGTCCCCCATGATGACAGCCTATGACAGAGAGGACAGAGAAAGCTATCATGAATGCACAGTTACATTTAATTTGTTTACTGTTTATTTACACATATAAAAAAATACTAAAGATACAAACATCATTTGCAAAGGAATTTTAAGTAGAATTGCCTAAAAGCCCTCCAGGGACATGCAGGACAGCATATTACAGGAAATAATTACAGCTATCTAAAATGCACTGTTTATATCTTTCCATCAATATTTTATGCATAAAAGAATGAAACGAACACATAGTTTAGCATAGTACTTGACAACAATGCATTCCTAAAACACCCTACTGTTACACAATAATGACTGAGACAGTCACAAGACACACACTCAAGAATATGAGCATTTGCTCATCTGATATAGCTTAGAGCTTTCATAAGTCAAAAGATAAAGGAAAAAATAAACACAAGCAAAGGGAGAAAAGAAAACAAGCCGTAATCATAATAGGGCTTTAGGCTTGTATGACAAAGGGAAATATTGAGCCTAGCTTGGAGATAATCCACATGGAATATATCGGTTGGTTTAAAGGAGTGATTTCAGGTGTCTTTTAAAATGTAGTCAAGACGAATTAAAAAAAATACTAATAATAAGGTAAAGAATTCCATATTTTGGACCCACTGTAAAGTATACTAAACTGAGATTGGGAAGTATGGAAATCACCATGTATAATGTTATGCATATAAGTTCATGAAAAGAAGGTGGAAGATTTTTTTTTAAGAATTATAAACAAATAAACCAGTCTGGGAATGGTATACTGAGGAAACCTATTTGAAGAAATAGAGGCTGAGGAGAATGGTTTTAGTGTACACAATTATTATTCTCAGGGCTTGTTTCTGGAGACAGTGTACAGACTAGCCTAAGCTATATCACACAATAGTTAATAGGCCTATATGGAATAAGCATTAAATAATAAAACATAGGGGCTACCTTATGATCATATGGTGCGTCTTCCCCAGTATACCACTACTTTTTATTATATTTTCGTGGTTATAGCTCTGATACGTTCCCAAGATAAGTGTTTATCAAGCAGAAATCCAAGGAATCATGTAGAACACTAATTAGTTATGGGGATGTTATTGATTGGGATTTTAAAAATCCCTGATTTAAGACCAAAAAGAGTGAATGTTGCTTTTTTGATGTTACATGTAGTTTGCTGGACTAAAACCAAATAGACAACTTATTAACTTATTTCTTAAACACCTTAATGATGGTGTCAAGGTCTTTATGTGGATAGAAGACACCTGTATCTTCTGCAAATAGGATTCTAGATCACTTGTCTGAGGCATTTAAAAGGTAGGTAAATATATCAGAAATAACAAAGGCCCAGGAATTGAGCCTTGTGGAACATCCCAGAGTATGGGAAGCAATGGACAATTTGTTGCATTATAGTATACAAAATGCTGTCTATTTTTAAGTTTTAAAATGATCAAAGACAGAGCAGATTTCATGTCAGTAAAGTGGGCATCACCGTGACGTCATGATGGCTACCTCCATTATTTTGTACGGTCTGTGATTATAATACAGCTAACTGGCCGATATGTTTAAATAGTACGTAAATGTTAGTGAACTAGTTTGCCTTGCTGTTATGGACAGGTGCCACACAGTGGTTTAGTGTTAGCTAGCTAACAAGATTGCTCAAGGACTCATGGGTAACAATTAGTCTATCATCAGTGATGTGTACTGTAAATTAAATGGGTTTTGTTTACAAATAGGCAAATTTATCTTTGGTAATAATATGGTAGATTCATATGTATTTTCAGACATATTTTTAAAAAAAAAAAGAAAAAGAAAAAAAAAACTCCATGTAAAACTGATATTAAATTTTAAACAATAATTTGGTGGCCCCTCTGCATTAAGTCTACAGTTTATGGACTCCCTATTGAAGACCCAGGAACTAGGTAAAAAAGCTTTTAAAAAAAGCTCCCCCTTCTTCCTGGAATTATGAACAGAAGGACCGTTGGAGTCTTAAAATGTTTAATATAATAGCTATAATTCCACTTTGCACTAATCTGTGAATATAGTAGATGGAAGAAAAATGCACAGATGAATATAGATGAAAAATAAAAATTTTTGTTATTTAAATTCATTCATTGATTCAGCCTACCTAATAAATCAAAAAAACAGTCAACACCAGTATTATAGAAAGGATAGAATGATTATAAGGCAGATTGATTTTATATGTTATTTAGCATGTGCATATGTTTACAAATATATTTTTCTTAATGCATTATGTCACTTTATTTTTTTTTATCTATATGGATTATGAATTTTGAAAGACTGACTGACACCAATGCTTGTATTAGTGGACAGTAGTTGCCAGATAGATTAAATATCTAAGATATAATTTTTTTTAAATTCACATTTTGACAACTTCAGGACACTAAGCTCTGGTTATTAACATGTTTCTCAGGTGTATCAGGTTATAACATTTTATAACAAGGTTCAGCAACATGTTGCTATCCAGGACTGTTCATTAATCAAACTTCCAATACTGACAGCTGTGAAATATAATCAAATCTCCATCATGGCTTTCACATTTTAACTAATTCAAATCTGATTTGTACAATATTAAGTCTTACACAGTAATAACTGTTCCTACCTTGGTAATGACCACTGCCTCGTTCAGTCAGCTCTTCTAGTCTTCTACTGGGACTTCTACTTCCTTCTTAAAGGCCTAATCCAGACTGACATTGCAGAATCATCAGATTCTCACTAACCCGCCCACACTCCCTAACAGCATGACTCTGTCACCCCCTTAGTGTTGAAACGGACTGATGTCGAGAAATGTCAACTGATCTACCCATAACTGACCATAACTGACACCAAATCAGCTTTTCCCATACAAATGAATAATTCTCACTCCTCTGAAAATGTCACGTAGTATTGAGCTACGTGCTGAACAAAACGCCAACCTACAATACAAGGGCCATAAGGTGGGTCCTGCTTTATGACCTGATCTTGTGGCCCTGTGAAGGACAATCTTCAGGAAAAGAAACATCAAAACAAACCTGGGGTCAGGTAGCATTCCAGCACAGAGAAACTGCACACACTGTACAGAGGGTGGGACGAACGAGGGCTCAGTTTTGGCTGAGTAGATTATATTGGCCCCGGGGCCCCACTGCAAATTAATCTGGCCATGACTGTTAATGAAATGTGGCTAACACCAAGTGTTTCCAAGCGGTATTATTGTCTCTGTCCCAATGACAACTGGATTGCTTTCCATTTTACGTAAAGCCTAGCAACTACCACAGAATTTCATAGTGAAAGTGATCTTACAGGGAACCAGTCTGAACGCTGATGATGTAATTGTTCTATAGCCATTATAGAGTGTATTCAACGTTGACTTCATAATTCTAAGTTAAAACAAAAAAACTGCTATTTTTTATGTTAAGCTTTTGACAGTAATACTTACTGAAGAGAGCCGCTCTTTGCCCTCAGAGGTCCCTCTACTCATAAGCATCAGTCTGCTGCTACTCACCATAACAATGTTATGTGCTTTAACTACAGCCCATAGTAACACTCAACAACATGTTGCAATTGCATACTCTCCCTTTTTACACTCATACCGATTTCTTCACGTTAACATTTCACATAAACAGTGTACGTGTATGAAATGAATACACGCATACAGTCTAAGGTTTGTGACATATCTGTCCATCAAAGTGGGAGGTAGGGTGGAATATGACTTACAGTGTCAGTTAATGGTGGAAAAATGTGGTGCAAAGGGTCATCAAGGCTTTCTTTACAGGAACTAAGCATTATGAAACCCTTTTCATCAGACTCATCAAAAATATCACGAGTTTGACGGAGAGAAACGAGAAGCTGTGAGCTGACATCTGAAACGTACGTGCCTGAGTCAGTCGGACCAAACCCATAGGGCCTCGACACTATTTAAGTCTCATCCTGTGCAGTCGATTATGTCTTCGGTTGCCCGCGCTCTGACTCTTCTCTGATGGACTTACGGAAACTAATTTCTAATATCTGAAGCCTGACAGGTGAGTGTTGTGTTATGTTTCTGTAACCGTGCATTAAAACACTTGAGGTAATCAGTGTTTCTTTAAGCATATTTTAGTTGCAAACTTTGAATAACTGGCCTCCATGACAAGCATGTGTCATGTCTGTGGATTATTTGTATAGCCATAGCCTTTAGACATCTGGGCCTGTATTGATCAAACTGCTAAGAGTGATTGTTGGACTTGAGCAAAGATAAAAGTAGACACATAAACTTAAGAATAAAACACATTCATCTTATTTCCTTATACTTCATTAAAAAGGGACCTTTTGTGCTTTACCTTATTTTTTGTCATATAAATAAGGTTACAATGTCAGATTTTTATATTAAACCACAGCTTCAAATACTGAGGTAAACATAGCCAATGTAAAAGTACTCCCTGTGAGCAAAAACCTCAGACTTCAGACCATTCTGAATACCGGTTCCAATGTTTTTTTTCTACTCTGGCTACAAGCTGATGTCAGTTTGTGAAGGATTTCTTTATAGGGTCATCTGCTCGAGACATGCTACTGCAGGCGGTTACATTGCGTAGCCTACACTGGTATATGACACTACATGCTAACGTCAGGAAAACATGTAATCTTGGTTAATAACATTGTTAATTCCTCACAGATTTTGGATATATTATTCCTGCTGGAACATGTCAAGTTGTGTTTAGAAGATTGTAGCTACATGCTAACATCAGACAGCTCAGCAGGATATATTCCTGCACTTGGCATTAATTTTGTTGGCAGTACGGATATATTTTGTCTGTAGTCGGGGTCCCCCATATACATATATTTTTACAGACACCTATTATTTCATTGTCTCTCAATTTAAAAAGGTATTATCTTCATGGGCATTGCAGACACTTTGATGAATAAAAGATAGAGCTTTGTACTGGTCTCGTTTATTTTTCAGTAAGTTTCATGTCTGTGTGTTTCTCCTCTCCTTCAGACATTAGCCTTCAGCCATGGGTGACTGGTCTTACATGTCCGCACTGCTGGACAAAGTCCAGTCTCACTCCACTGTAGTTGGGAAGATCTGGATGAGCGTCCTCTTCCTGTTCAGGATCTTCGTCCTGGGTGCTGCTGCGGACAAAGTCTGGGGAGACGAAGTGTCCGAGTTCTACTGTGACACCCTGGAACCGGGATGTCATCACGCCTGCTACAATTGGATGTTCCCAATTTCCTACGTTCATTACTGGGTCCTGCAGATCACTTTTGTGTCCACACCCACCCTTGTCTACCTGGGCCATGCTGTCCACATCATCCACAAAGAGAAGAGGATGATGGAGCAGCTGCGGGACTGCACTAATGGAACTGTGCAAAAGAAACCCAAGTATACAGATGACAGAGGGAAGGTGAAGATAACAGGTATCCTCTTTGGCACATACATAACCCAGCTGGTCTTTAAGATTGTCCTGGAGGTGGCATTCAGTGTGGGCCAATTCTACATATTTGGCTCTGTGTTCATGGTGCCCTTCTTCCACTGTCAAATGTCTCCACCCTGTGCCCGTCACGCCGGGGCCCTGTGTAACATCTCTCGTCCCACAGAGAAAACCATTTTCATCATCTTCATGCTCGCGGTTTCAGGCGTTTCTGTGCTCCTCAACATCATAGAGATCATCTACCTGCTCTGTAATAAGAGGAGAGAAAGAAGAAAACAGCTTGAAGCTCACCAGCATATGCTCAGCCCGCAGCAGCACCCATCCAGCCCAGGCTGGGGGGGCATCAGCAGCCAGTATGGAGGTGTCCAGCTGCTGCCTCTGCCAGGTCAGGGTCTGACAAGCCTCTGCAACGATGACAAACACATCGACTCCATCAGTAAAGAAAAGGACACCTGATAACATGAACTATACATGTCAGCATTAGTTGTTTCTGGACGTTTCTTGTTATATGGCTTAAGATGAAAGTGTGAAAGGTTCTTTTCTGGATTGTCAAATGTACTGTGCCTCAGGATGATAATGTTTATAGCATAGAAATACATTAAGAGCAGAATGGACATTCAAATCATTCAAAGATTGTATCATGGAGCCACTATGAAGTCTCTTCTTTATGCTGTCTTTGCATTTTTACGCAGAACCAAACAACGGCAGCATCCTGCTGCTCTGGTGTGTGATTTTAGACAGCATGCCAGCATTGCAGAATCAAAAAGGGGTACAGGCATGACGCAACACAACAGCGCTGCCTCTAATGTGAAATACATGTGTCAGCAGTGCTTTATAAACAATACCAATGCAATTTTTTATGCCAATTACAATTATTTACTGTCCCTGTTATATGGCGGCCGGTCTCATCCTCTACTCAGGGGGTAAGGAGCTCCTGGATCTATTTTTTTTCTCTAATTTGCAGACAATTGTGGTCGCTGTTCTTCTTAGTTACTTGCTAACTTCTAATAGCTACTTTTTAGATCTTGGTGCGTTTCATGCATAACATGTCATCAAAATGTCACATCCATGCCACCCATGATCCTGTCTTGCTGGCTGTCCCGTTTATACAGATGGTTGTTTCAGCTCTGTTATAATGCTGGCTTAAAGGTGAGACAAATCTGTCCCAACATTCTGTGACTGTACCTTTTATACAGAACACAGAGGCAGCATAACAGGGCTAATGTAGCATAAGCAATGATGATGTAGCATGATGGACTGGACTTAGAAGAATGTCAGTCATTCTTCAGTGGAAGTCATTGAAGTCAATCTGCCATAATGTATACTATATATGTATTTGACAATGAATTACACTGCACTGCAATAAATGTTGGTATAAATAGATGGCAGTAACCATTTCTATATGCAGAAGTGGAATGTAACTACTTACATATAAGCAAAGGTAAAAATCGGAGGTACTTGTACTTGACTTGAGTATTTCTATTTTATTCAATGTTGTACTTGTACGTCACTACGTCTCTGAGGTAAACATAATACTTTTTTTACTCCACTACATTTACTTGACAGCTTAAGTTACTTTTCAGATTACAGTTTCCTTCCTGTAAAGTGAAAACTATGTATCTCCAAATTTGGTGATTTTAAACTGAATTCTGATAAACACAAAATTAATTGTTTTAATTATACAGCTCATTTGATCCTGTACAAAGGCTGCAAATTAGCTTTAGATGTCACACACGTTCTTCTACCATGTTATGTGTGTCTGTATTGTCCCTATTAAACAAACAAAGAGCATAACACTCGACTGATCCTTAGGGAGAGCGATTAACACGTTACAGCAGCACAGGAAACCAGTAACGTCCAAATGAGGGTTCGTGAAGTGTTTTCTTTATTTCCAAGACCCACTAGATGGCATTCTCTGTTCAGCAAAGCGTTGAAAGCACAGTGAGCGGCTGTCCCTTGGGCCTGTTCCTATAGACCAAGAGCGCCATCTAATGGTGTCAGAAAATAAAGACAAAGCTTCGTGAGGCTTCAGATGGCTTTACTGTATATGAACAGTCTGAAGAGACAGGAAACATTTTTTAAAAAAAATGTTTTAAATGAATAAATAAAACAAAAACAGTAATTAAAGGAACAGTTCACCCCTAAATAGAGAATACATGTTTTTCCTCTTACAGGTAGTGCTATTTATGAGTCTAGATTGTTTTGGTGTGAGTTGCTGAGTGTTGGAAATATCATCCGTAGAGATGTCTGCCCCTCTATAATGGAACTAGATGGCACCCAGCTTGTGGTGCTCAAAGTACCAAAAAAGAATACATTTGAAAAACTCAACAGCAGCGTCTCTTTCCAGAAATCAAGACTTGGTTACTTAAGATAATCCACAGACCATGTTGTGTGCAGTTTCATGTAGGAACTATTTTCTTTCTACCAAAACAACATCCGCCAACTGTATCACTGTGCAGTGGGCAATGTGCATCTAATCATGGATGAGAGGCATGTGCTCATGACAGTGTCAAATGTAAACATTAATGATGGCCAAATTAAGCCTCATGAAACATACAACATGGTGCTTTTGGTTTAAAGAAAGAGGTTCAAGAAGTGGCAACTCAATGTGTTTTAACCCTTTGTTGAACAGAGAGCACCATCCAGTGTTAATTTGCGACAGCTATTTTAGATTTAGTCTTAGTCTTGAGATGAAAATGTTTATTAGTTTCAGTCACATCACACACATTATCTTTAAAATAATCCACTCAGGCTAATTTGTGTATCAGAAATTACAATCAAGATGACAGGTTGTATAAAAATTTCATTTAGACATTTTTTATACAACTACAAATAATTTGTACACTTACAAATGGTCATTTCTCCAGCAGCGAGTTTAAGCAGGTTTAAGGGATGATTTACGAGCACACACTTACTGATCACCATTTGAAAAGCTCAACATCTTTCTATTTATGGTCTGAAAACTTTGACATCACAAATAACTAATCTGAGACAACTAGGATTTGTACCCAGATTCATTGTAAACTCTGACTTATCCATCTCACTGTTAAAAAGCAGAAATATTATCTTAATAAACCCTGATTTTTTTCTTAATCTGCAACATGTTAGTCTGGAGGTTTAAACTTGTGTCCTCTCACAGAGTTGGTGATTAAAACTAAACTGTCATCTCTGTCAGAGAAAACAGATGAGAGTTTAGACTGTTTACTTACAGCACAGCTGCACTCACAGATAACTGAGCCTCCTACCTGCCTGTCCAACAGCAATCAAACCAGCTGACGCTGTTCCGGTGTAAGAGTTTTTGCTGGCTAGCAAAACATCCTGGTGCTCATGCTGCATTTGAAGATAATTACAAGCAAAGCCGTTCTTGGGTTTCAATGTCTGATAGTCTACCACTAACATTTTCATCACATCTCGTCTTGTCAATGAAAACGAAACATAGATTTTGTTTGTTTTATCATAGTTTTCCTCAACGAAATTAACACTTGTGCCATCCTTAAGTTTAGGCAACAGAAGCACGTGGTTAGGTTTAGAAAAAACACATCTTGGTTTGGCTGAAAATTCATACTACTGTAATTTCACGTCACGTGACAATTGCGGTGACATCCGTTGCTATTGTAGCATGCTACACATACTGTACTAGCACACTACGTTGTTATATAGGTAAGTCCATTGGCTTTTAGTTCCACATGGGAAACATACAGTGGGCTCCCAGGTGAAAGTCCAGTGTTTGTTGGACTTGGACCCATCCACCTTCCCTCCCACCCTCCCTATACAAACTCTCTCTCTCTTTATACTACAGTAGTTGCCAGCAGTATCATAAATAGCCGCCATTCGGTGCGTATCATGCCGCTGTGATGAGTGTCTCAGTACATCATGTCTCACACCACCATCCACTGACAAAGTGCAAGCATTTAACAAGTTCAGTTGTGGCAGGTGGTGTCAGAAATAGTCTCCACCGGATGCGTATTAAACCGCTGTGAAAGGTTCATCTGTACGTCAGTGTCTGACGCTGAATTCATTGATAAAGCAGCAATATTTAATGTGTTAGGAGTGAGAACACGTTGGACACTCAGTACCAATGCCAGACACCATCAGTGTCTCTTGGTTCAGTGGCTAGAGACCTGATTGTCCTTCAGCCATGTTTCCAAACTAGATTTAAAATGTTTAGACAGACTGCACTCACTGATACTCAGAGGTAAAGAATTCTGTATTCCAGCTGCTTTAAAGCTATGGTCTACGTTTAGAAAGATTGATCATTATTATTAACATCATTCAGATGGTGGTTATGTGCCCAGTAGTGCTAGCTACACAATGTGAAGAGCAAAAGGAACCAAAAAAAATCCATTCTCTCTGGCAGCTGCAGGCCTGCAAAGAAAATGACCAATCACAGCCATCCGGTCCGCATGGGAGTTACTCCTTGCTCAAATTTGCACTCTCTCTCTCTTACCCTCCGTCCAATCCCCTCGCTCCATTTTGACACTCCTCTGCTCCTCGTCCCGCCTCGTCCTAACCCCCCTCTGCATTTGAAAGTATGAGCAGTTTGTAAGGCCCTCGGGATGGGCGCGCTGCAGTTTGTTTACAATGGTTGCTAAGCTACTAAGAGCAATGCTAACGTTAGCATCCGGTGGTATGTAGACAGCTGAGATGGTGACAACACTCAGTTCCCGAGGAAGGTAGAATGGTCTGCAGGATATTGACAGAGCCTCAAGGTCTGGACAACAATGGTGAGCAATGATCCTGCTGTTGTTACACCAGTTGTTATGGAGATAAACACAGAGTCCCCCTCCTTTCCTCTTACCGGACTCGATGTTTCTGTCCTGCCGGTGGCTAGCGTGGCCCGCTAGCTGCACCGCAGCATCGGGTATGAGCAGGTGAAGCCAGCTTTCCGTTATGATCATAATCTAGGGTGACCATATTTTGATTTCCAAAAAAGAGGACACTCGGCCGGCCACGACATAGCCTACTTAAATGATACTCACAGTTTACTCAAAGATGCCTTATCATTTTAAAATATTTAAAATTTATATGTATGGATAGAAAATTCAGTTATATTACAAAATAATATCTTTCAAAGACAGAAATTCAGATAGGCCCCAATAGGGGACACATACACACACTAGAGTGTGCCCAACGCTACCCGACGGGTCGGGCCGGGTTTGGTCAAAAATGTAGCTATAAATTGTATTCGGGCTCGGGTCGGATTCGATCAGCTTTCAGTGAAAATGTAGTGTAAAATAAATAAAATCCTATTGTCTGTCCTGTTTATTGCTTGGGCACTGTTATTTACGTGACAACACCTGAACATAACACACACACACACACACACACACACACACACACACACACACACACACATTGGCTGTTTGTTTCTACCTCTCCCCTCGCTGGAAGTCTCGGACCTCCAGCCGCCCGCCTCCGCCTTGATTAAAAGCTGAAAATAAAATAAAAGAGGGAGACAGGTTTTTCCTATTTTATCTTATTTTGTTTTATTTCTCCCTCTCCTCTCGCTAGAAGCGGGGAACATAGGACCCTTTTTCTTAAAAAAGGTTCTATGTTCCCCAGTCCCATACAAAGCGGGGAACATATTTCCTTTTGGGGAAAGCGGGGAACATAGGACCCTTTTTTTTTAAAGGGTCCTATGCTCGTTTCATTTCTTCGGTCTTCCTCGTTTTTCCATCACCACACACACACGCCAAAATGCCCAGCAGGAGGAAGAAGAACAAGCGTCGCATGAGGAGGGTGCAGGCCCAGAGGAGAGCCCTCGAGGAGCAGCATGCAGCCAACCCCCCAGTCAAAGCGAGTCCTGGGATCGCAGTGTGTGCGCCCCCTGCAGCAGCCCCAAAGAGAGTTCAACCGTATAAGAGGTGAACATGACACTGTGCTGAGTGCAGAGAGGTCACAGCCTCTGGCTGGGTGTAGGGCAGCTCAAAGCCCAAGACATCCTATAACTCAGTGCCGGCTACAATGTAGATGTGTTCATGGCACTACACTGGTGCTCCATGGCATAGAGGAAGAAGATAGTAGCTCTGTACAGTAATAACATGGATGTGGTGGGCAGAATTGGCTCCTCCTCCCATTCCACATATCAAATTATCAAAAAGATTTTACAACCCCTGATCTTAGCACAGTGGCATCTGCTTTCTCACAAGATCACAAGATTAACATTACAGATGTGCCATTCATGTTACAAAGTAGTCTGCTAATAATGTACACTTGCACATATTTGATTGGCTGTGCCAGATGACGTTTTTGCAGCCACTGAACCATGAACATCACTTTACACCAAACAATGGACAAGCCAAGCAAGGCAGTCAGCGGGCACATGCAATCATATCAAACTTATCAAAATGTACTGGGAAGTTTGATCAGTTTTGGTTAGTCTCGCCACCAGACAATCAGAGATCTCCGCCTTCTGATAGTCTGGGGACACTCCTTTCTAAAGTGTGTTTAACACACCGGAGTAAACGGCCGGCAACAAAGCAACGCCTCTTGCATTTTTGAAAAGGACACGCCCTCCCGGAAATGTGCGCTCCCCCTTTTCTCGTCCGCAAGGAAACAAACACACAGAGAGCTTGAAAATGGATGTCGAGAGATTTAACTCCGTTTTATCAAACGTGTGCTCGGTCCACAAGATTGTGGAGAAGGACTTACAGCGACTTGAGCCATTTTGTACCGCTACGCGTGTTTCTAGTGGGACTATGTTTACAAGCACAAGAGTTCAGCGAGCCACCGAAGGACCACCCTGCAGATTTACTATTGGTTCTGCAACGTAAGGAGTTTTTTTAAACTCTGAA